TTTAAGTTTTTAATTTCTTTTTGTTGTTTTCGAATTTTTCTAATAGTACGCTCTAATTTTGAATCGTAAGGTACTAAACCTTCAGATCCATTATTTTGCATAAACAAATATAATAAGCAAAGAAAAATTTCCTAAAAATGATTCTTAAATAAAAATATATTTTCTTTTTGAATTTTTGAATTTTCTTTAAATTTTAAATTTTTTTTATATATAATTATCTCTAAATTTCCTAATTTACAAAATTTATTTAATTTACCGTTACCTTCCCCGACAACGGCGCCAAAAACTTGATCACGATGTGAAATATAGTTGTGTAAAATTATATAGATGACTCCGCTATGCAACAGTGCCAAAAGGTTGATGCAATATTTTATGAATTAGAAATATAAGTAATCAATGTTGTGATTCTACGCAAGTATACGTATCGTTATCAAGTAATAAAATGAGGAAGGTTTAAATTTGAAATGATAAATTTACTATGAAATTCACAGAAAGTCAAAATGAAATTATTATCACTAATTTTGAATGTTGAGATATTATCAGAACTAAATTATTTAACTAATAACAAAACTAAAATACAGAGTTTAAACAGTAACTACTAAACTATTAAACTATGTTTATGTGATGAAGATTTTTTGTGTGAAAAAGAATTTTTCCCACTAAAATGAGATTTTGGTAAGATAAGATGAGATAAATGGTTTTAATATGTATTGTGTCAAATCGAAGTAGTTTTAATTCTCTACACTGATACAGTGTTATAGAAAAAATTGGCTAATCTCAGATTTAGTCCTTAAATCTGTGGTTAGGCTAGGAGAATACTAGCTCCCACTCCAGAGCTCCCGTTTCCCTTCACCTGAAGGCGTCGCTTAAATGAGATGAGATAAATGGTTTTAATATGTATTGTGCTAAATAGGAGCAGTTTTAATTCTCTACTCTGGTACAGTTTTATAGAAAATCATTGGCTAATCCCAGGTTTAGTCCCTAAATTAGTGGCTAGGCTAGGAGGATACCTGGCTCCCACTCGAGAGCTCCCACTTCCCTTCACCTGAAGGCTAACTCTCACTTTAGTTTTTAAATACTAAGTCCAAATTGAGGATTTTAGTTTGTCACCCTAAAGATTCTCAAATTCTACACGCAACAAAGTATATTTCTGTATTTATCTGCACTTAATTCCTTGAACGAAGTTCTCTTTCATGAAATCAAATGTGATCCTCATTTTGTTATAGAACTCATACTCCATTTTTCGGATCATATGTTTCACAACATATTTTAACAATTCAATTGGTCAGATCGAAAAGTAAATTGAGTTCGAAGTTGAAAAATCACCACAATTTATTTTATATTTTAATATCGACGCATCTATATTATCTCTTCATTTCAACATATCTTAGAGTAGGGAGAAATATTAAGTAAACTACTCAGACTTCATAAGAAAGATACAACAAAACACAAATTTTATATATAAAAGAAAGTTCATACAAAACTAATAAACAAACAAAACTTATCTAAAACTCTTTCTCAAAGCAAATCCCTTGTAGCCTCTCCTAGGAAATGTAGGAAGAAATCTCTCACTTTTCTCTTTCTCAACACTCTCATAGAAGATTTCACAATTAATCTCCCCAAAAAACTCAAAATTATAAGAATAATAGACTTTAAATGGTTATGGAATGAAAAATGGAAGAATGTGTGATGCGTGGAAGGTTGAATTGGGGTGATGAGATGTTAGGAAGAGTTACTTTTCTGATCAATTTTGACCCCAAATAAAGCTTAGTGTCGGTTCTCCAATAGGTGCCTCCAAAAACTCTTCAAAAAGCATTCAAATTCGTCAAAGCATCTAGAAACAGGGGT